AATTTCAGATCGATACCTCGTTTTTTGGCCAAGTTATAGCGAAAAAAACTGTTCAAAAATGATGACGTCAAATTTTCAAACTCAATTTTTGGCAATTCTAGAACTCGTAGAGCAAAACAAAGACCACCATTAGACTCCCCGTAACGAGCTGCATCGAATGGATACCCATTTTATGCAAAAATATCAACTTTGAAATTTGACCTAATTTGACCTGACCTTGACCTGACCTTCACCAAAACGTGACCTAGGCTGGCCCCAAAGGCTGCCTAACCCACATAATCGCATTTGTCATGTAAAATGGACCATTAAACATGTATCACACGACACATTCATATTGTGACCCCCGGTGACCTGACCTCGCTGTGACCTGACCTGGTATCAGTGACCTCAGATAGCAAAGTATGTGTTTGACGAACAATATACCATCGATGGTTTTCAATAAATTACCAATTTACTCGATTTCACAGCACATTTCTTGAATTGCCTGTGAACGGTAAAAATCTGACCTTTGACCTGACCTGTGACGTCATCGGTTTGACCTAGGTCAATGAAATTTGGACACAAGGTAGTTCCCGGGTAGGGCTATCAAACGCCGTTTGAATTTTGAAAATCGGCCGATAACTTTCCGAGATCTTAGGGGGGGGGCCGAAACGGCCCCGCCCCCCCTACGGGTGGTAGGGTCCGCCGGTAGCCCTACGGGGCGCGGGTTAAAGATGGAATCTAAAGATGGGAGCGGAGGCAGAGCTGTAACGCCATAGGCATTTTTGAACGCCTCCACCCCTTAGGCAGTCGGTATACTGAAGGGATATCCATTGGTCTAGCTCTGTCCGCTGGACGACACACGTTCGAACCGGACTATAGTCCAAGGTCAACCCCAGCGTGCGTCTCGTGACGATCACGGACAGCTAACGTATCACCGAGACTCTGAGGGATGGAAGCAAGGGGAGATTCCGGCTTTTTTTCAGAAATTGTGTCCGAATGGATGAATGGGTGGCTATGGGCCCGGGTGCCACTCTAAGCAGTGCTTGTTGCAAATGACACCACGGACCCACCACGCCACCTTGCCCGCGCCCGGTTCACCGGTAATAATTTGGATCGAAAGTTTAAAAGACCCGTGACCGGCAAAGCATTTTATCGTTGACGTGACCTGTAACGTCATCGGTGACCCCGAGGTCAATGAAATTGGATTTCTCTCGACAAATTTGACTGGGCTTTCGAACGCCGTTTGTTTTGTGGATCCGTTCAGTAGTTTCAGAGATACGAGGGGGCAAAAAATAGTCCATGACCCTTCCAGGTCAGGTCATGACCTTGACCTGAGGTAAAATTTTCAAAATGACCTTTCAAGGTCAGGGAATAGTTCATTCGACGCGTCTCGACGAGAGGAACACGATGCTGGTAAATGTAATGTCGTGGCTTGCTTGAGTCAAAAGTTATCCCGCGCACCGACGGGGGTCTGCGCCAACTCGCGCGAACCGACGAAGGGGGCGGATGACAGCGGTGGTGGCTCCCACTGCCTCTGACCCGGTCTCAGCCGGCCGCTGACGCTGGTCTCTCACCCACAGTCGGCCGCTGACACTGGTCTCTGTCCCTTTGTCGGCCGCTGACACTGGTATGTTCCACAGCCGCCCGCTGACACTGGTTTCTGTCCCGCAGTCGGCCGCTGACACTGGTCTCTGTCCCACAGTCGGCCGCTGACACTGGTCTCTCACCCACAGTCGGCCGCTGACACTGGTATCTGTCCCACAGCCGGCCGCTGACACTGGTCTCTGTCCCACAGCCGGTCGCTGACACTGGTCTCTCACCCACAGTCGGCCGCTGACACTGGTATCTGTCCCACAGCCGGCCGCTGACACTGGTCTCTGTCCCACAGCCGGTCGCTGACACTGGTCTCTGTCCCACAGCCGGTCGCTGACACTGGTCTCTCACCCACAGTCGGCCGCTGACACTGGTATCTGTCCCACAGCCGGCCGCTGACACTGGTCTCTGTCCCACAGCCGGCCGCTGACACTGGTCTCTGTCCCACAGTCGGCCGCTGACACTGGTCTCTGTTCCACAGTCGGCCGCTGACACTGGTCTCTCACCCACAGTCGGCCGCTGACACTGGTATCTGTCCCACAGCCGGCCGCTGACACTGGTCTCTGTCCCACAGCCGGTCGCTGACACTGGTCTCTCACCCACAGTCGGCCGCTGACACTGGTATCTGTCCCACAGCCGGCCGCTGACACTGGTCTCTGTCCCACAGCCGGTCGCTGACACTGGTCTCTCACCCACAGTCGGCCGCTGACACTGGTATCTGTCCCACAGCCGGCCGCTGACACTGGTCTCTGTTCCACAGTCGGCCGCTGACACTGGTATCTGTCCCACAGCCGGTCGCTGACACTGGTATGTTCCACAGCCGCCCGCTGACACTGGTTTCTGTCCCGCAGTCGGCCGCTGACACTGGTCTCTCACCCACAGTCGGCCGCTGACACTGGTATCTGTCCCACAGCCGGCCGCTGACACTGGTCTCTGTCCCACAGCCGGCCGCTGACACTGGTCTCTCACCCACAGTCGGCCGCGGACACTGGTCTCTGTCCCACAGTCGGCCGCTGACACTGGTCTCTCACCCACAGTCGGCCGCGGACACTGGTCTCTCACCCACAGTCGGCCGCTGACACTGGTATCTGTCCCACAGCCGGCCGCTGACACTGGTCTCTGTCCCACAGCCGGCCGCTGACACTGGTCTCTCACCCACAGTCGGCCGCGGACACTGGTCTCTGTCCCACAGTCGGCCGCTGACACTGGTCTCTCACCCACAGTCGGCCGCTGACACTGGTATCTGTCCCACAGCCGGCCGCTGACACTGGTCTCTGTCCCACAGCCGGCCGCTGACACTGGTCTCTCACCCACAGTCGGCCGCTGACACTGGTCTCTGTCCCTTTGTCGGCCGCTGACACTGGTATGTTCCACAGTCGGTCGCTGACACTGGTATCTGTCCCGCAGTCGGTCGCTGACACTGGTCTCTGTCCCACAGTCGGCCGCTGACACTGGTATCTGTCGCGCAGCTGGTCGCTGACGCTGGTCTCTGTCCCACAGTCGGTCGCCGGCCGGCCCCCCAGTCAAAGCGGCTCGCTGTGCTCTCCCGTCAGTTGGGACGGCTCGCGTCTCTCTCCGGCTCCGGGGAGCATAAGCCGCCGGTCGGACGGGCTCCCGTCGCCGCTCACCAGTCCCGGGAGCTGCACGTCGGCTCCCGGCTCCGGTCACAGCGCGGCTCCCGGCTCCGCTCCCGGCTCCGCTCCCGGCCTGCTCCGGCAACTCTCGGTGAGTCTTAGTTCGGTGGTTATATCGAGTTAGTTTCCTGTTTATTTGTTACCCTTTTTGTGCTCTGCTTGATGTGCTATCGACTCATAGCTCCTACACTGGATACATCCAACACATTCGACGGCACCTGCTACCTCAGCATGATTCCACCGCAGCACAGACTGTTTAATCCCGGCTCCTTCCAGGTCTTGCGTTGTCGAGTCGTTCTGACAGTGACTGTGGCGCACTGTACCACCAGCTCACCCTCGTGGCTGCACGGTCATGGTGCCGTGATCCCGCACCCGTGCCCGTCCTGTGTGCGTCCGACACGGGTCCACCGCTGCTGACGCTCCCCTGACCTGTTGCAGGCACCGGCCGAGTCCCGGCCCAGGCCGCCGGTGGGCCGTCTCGCCCGTCTCGGTTCTGGGCCCACACCTAGCGGCCCTTTTAAGCGGCCCGTCAGACAGAGGTTCGGTTCTTTGGGTAGAGGTCCGCACGCTGCGCAACCCAGGGACTATGACCCCTGGTCGGCTCAGGTGGCGCCACCTGCAGAGGGCGCCGGCAGGTACCAGGGGGCGCCGCCGCGGCCGCCGGGGCCGGGACAGGCGCCGCGGCGGTCCCGCTCACCTTCCGTCGGTGACTCAGGTGGCAGCCGAGCTGAGCGCACCTCTGAGCAGAGGGTGCTCTGCGACTCTGTCAGCAGAGGGCGGGCGGAGGCCGGGGCCGACCGGCTGCTCGGCCTGTCCTACTCGGCTCGGGTGGCCGAGCGGCGCCGCCCGCGCTGCTCCGGTCACACCCACAGTCAGATCACCGACCTGGCCCAGGAGGAGCTGACAATGAATATCGCAGCGCAGACCAACTCGAGGTGCCGGGTACAGAGAACGGAGACGTCCATCTCGGACAGAAGTGACCTGTATGTGAGGAGGAAAAGGGTCGACGTGGCAGAAAACTGCTCAATCACTACAGTCAGGGACGAAATTCTGACCAGCAACAGGCGGAATTTTTCTTGCTTTGGAGGGACTGACATAACCAAAGCAGAACGGCTTTCTGAAACACAAACCAGACCCGATCATTACTATTTGGACAGAAGAGATAAAAACAAAAACTATGTCCGTGAAAAGCGGGTAGCACACAGTGAAGAGGTCAACGCAGAAGGTCTGAATATGTTTCAGTCAGACGCGAGAAGCTCTTATGAAAAGTCGCTGCTCAAAAGAGGATACGATTCCTTCTCAGAAGATCGTGCAATGAAAAGGTCGCGCCCGTCGGTGGTGTCGTGGAACTCTCCAGATCAATCTGTTCACTCTCCGGGCATTTTGGAAAGCTTCTCAGAAGCAAATCATTATAAAACATCCAATGTTTGGAGCGCGCAGCAGCAATGGCGACCTTCTCAAAGGAGCTCACGGCTCACCAGCCAGAGCTCTGACTACCGACAGAGAGAGGAGAGGAGCCGGGACCGGCCGATGTCTGCCGTGCCGCCCCCGCGCTGGTTGCAGCACCCGCCGCCCGGCTGCCGGGGACACCCCTGGAGGTATGGGTCCGCGGCGGCCGGTGACAGCGGCCGGCGGCGGCCTCCGCTGCTGCCGACACCGCCCCGCGGCCGGCGCCGCCCGGGGCCGGCCGGCTCCCCAGCCGTCACCACCACCACCCGGCTGGGGGAGACGCCGCCCACCCCCGAGTCGGCCGGCGCGGCCGGCCCGCTCGGCCTGCTCTGGGCCGCCGAGATGCCGCTGCTCCCGCAGCTGCTGGAGCCGCTCTCACCAATGTCTCCGCTCTCAGTGTCTCCGCCGCTGTCTCCCGAGCTTCCGCTGTCTCCCTTGTCTCCCCTGAGCTCGCCCAGGTCACCGCCCTCCGCTCGCCGGGAGAAAATGCCAGAGGGAGACTTTTATCTCGGACCGCCCGAACCGATCACCACGTGCAACCCCCGATCGAGTCACCACCGCACACGTCTCACCACTGATAGGCTGAGCGACTCCGACTCTGACTCCGACTCCGACTCCGCCGACGGCCAGACCACGCGCTGGGCTCGGGCTCGGAGACGGGGTACGCACAGGGACCGGCTCGACTCGGCCAGCACGGCGAGCGGGGACAGCTCGGCTGCTCCGAGAGCCGAGCGGCAGCGGCGCGGCGCTGCCCGACCGGCCCGAGCCGCGGTCGGCTCGTGCCCGAGCGGCGCCGCCTGGCCGGCCGAGCGGCGGCCCAGCGACGCGGCCACCCCCGCCGATCGATTCGACCGGCAGCGCTCGAGTGGCGGTCGATGTGCCGAGTGCTCCGCCGGCGGATGCTCCCAGCAGCCGCCGGCCCGTCCTCCGGCGGCCGACAGCCGGCACTCGGCACCCGACCGTCACCCAAACACCAGTGGCCCCAGGTCACCCCAGACCCAGCCGCGGCCGGGCCGTCCCGATCGGCCGGGCAGCGGCCGGGGGACCGACGAGCCGCCAGCCGACCTGGCGACCACCTGTGGCCGCCCGGAGCCCACCGACGCCGCCAACGCCGACGGCCGGCGCGGCTCGCCCGACGGCCGGCCCGGCTCGCCCAACGGGAGAGCAGGCTCGCCCGGCGAGCCGGCGCCGCGCGACCTCACCATCTTCACCTCGGAGTACCTGTCGGAGCTGCTGCAGCTCCAGCGCCGGATCATGACGTCACGAGACAGCGAGGAGATGACGCGCGTGCTGGAGCTGCTCTGGGGAACAGGACAGGTGCAGGACTCGGCCCTCTACTACGATTTCGACCTGTGCGCACTGGACCAAGGAGTGGTTCGCCAGCTACAGAAATGCCTCAGCTAGTTAATTAGGACGTGGTTCGCCAGCTACAGAAAAGTCGCACCTAGTTAACCATGGTGGGACGCCATCTACAGAAATGCCTCAGCTAGTTAACCAGTGGTGCACACCGAATCAGTTGATGACATCTCAAACGTACTTTTTAAATTATGGTAGATGTGAGTCATATTGGCTGGAGCAGCCGTCAACAGAGGCGGTCCAGCACCGATGACGCGCTTATTTCGCACATCTTAGTCGACCGACTGTCATTTCAGGTGGGGGCACATCTTTCCTTATTGCTGATATCGCAGTACAATCACCGAATCAGTCGTCGTGTCATTTGGCGACAAACTCATGAGTTTTATTGGATATGGGCTGATATTAGCCGTTTTCACGACGGTCGCTCCGGCGAGTGCACCTAATTTGACCAGATCTCCACCTAATCTCTTTTACAGCAATTATCTTCATTTTATGAATTTATTTTAGTGTTTTAATCGATGATGCTCTCTGATAATGCGACAAAGCAGGCATATAAGCAATAAGTGTAACCTAGCTGATAGCTACCTACTAAGAGACACACTGAACCTGATTTGACCAAATCTGCACCTGATCTGCACCAGATGTGCACCAAATGTGTACCAGATGGCCGTCGTGAAAACGGCTATTTTCTCGGTTGCAGATATTTTGAACGTGTTCCTTCGGGGAAAAACAAAAACTCAAAATGTCACTGGCCCCTCTCAAGGGCCAGTGAAAGATATTGAAAGATATTGCCAGGCATTGATCACACCTTTAATTAATTATATTAGCATACAGCTAAAATACGAATATGTGAAGCATACAGTATAACAATACCTACAATCATAGAAAAAAACAGAAGACAAAAAAATGAAGCACAAAAACAGCATGCTTGCTGGATGCTGCTACAAAAATATAGTTCGTGGGTAATAGGATGTAGATTGCGAAGGCTTTTAGCAAGGGTTTAGAGCTGTAAACCATAAAACAATAATAACGGCGAACCTTCACGCGGCGCATATTGGTCATGTATCAAGGGAAATCAGCCTCACCGTCCCCGTGCCGGCCAGCCGGAGAGCTAATGGATACTTGCCACAAAGTATCGCACTCCCGGTGCATTGTTGAGAGCCGCGGTTCAGGTCGCTCCACTGCCTACTGGCATGGCTGCTTCCGAGTTGCTCGGGTTGCGACAGCCTGTTGAGTTCAGTGAGAAGGACGCACAGTGCGACGTGTTAGCTAATCTCCCGATACAGAACGAATGTCCGATCGAATGCCCCTATCTACCGAGGCCGAGAGCCGCTAGACCCGCCTAGTGCGGTGTCTGAGTTCTGGTAATTCGTACGAGATTTACAAACATTACTAATTATGTCGGGAAGAATATTGTGCAGAGGTTGGAGTACTCTAGGAGTTTTGGAACGGAAATGATCCTCAGGGAACACCTGCATTGTGTGCTGGTGAGGCCATTTTTCACCATTGTGATCAATTAGCCAGTGAGCTGTGAATTAATGTTCAAATACAAACCTTACAAGCCTTTGATGTGTTTGACATGTATCGCAAATAGGTATAGGCGTATGACAAACGTGGTCGATCGATCCGGTAGATATGGGAGTTTCACACAACAGGTCGTGTAAATATTTAGCCTCCAGACGGCGCACTGACCAAGGTGAGCCTCAGCTGAAATAAAGTACGACTTCATATGCACATTATTTATTGTCTGAGAAAATATTCCTTTCCTGGAACCAAAGACACCAACGCTCGCTCGCAGAACAACACACGCATGCTCAATAGTAGGTACACATATCCGGTCCTATTCATGCATACATCACAGTTCACACTTTCACGCTCTCTAAATACTTTGGTGTGTTCTTTGGTTCAATGTTATTAGCATAGGTATATCTAAATTTCTATTATTTGTTTTTCTCTACCACATTCTACTAATGGTACTTCCGTATCAAAAGCCGTAAAATATTTTTTGACGACTGATCACACCTTCGCAATGTCGGGCTGTGACCTGACATGACACGGCACCGACGCAGCATCGTGTGTACGCAGTATGGGCTGTGAGGATCGGACTCGTCTCACCGGAGACTCGGCCAAAGGACACAGTGGGAGGCACAGCGTCGGTCACAGAACACATACAGACATATCCTGCTCCGGTCCCAGCCGGCAGGGGGAGTCGGGTCGACACTGACTCAGACACGGACTCCAACAGCGCCCACCCGTCCGTTCTAGCCGAAAATGAGCCGACATGTGCGACTCAAAGGAGGCAGAACGGAACAGGGTAGGCTGGGAAGGGTCGCGGTGAGATGGGTATGAACGGGACCAGGATGGGGGACAGAATGAGGAGCAACGGAACGGTTAGGGACGATACGGGATGTGGGATAGGGCATGGGACAGGAATGGACGCCGTGGAAGGGATGGCAGTATAGATAAGGGACAGGACCGGCCGGACGGAGACGGGAAGGGACGGCGGACGCGCCAGCTGAGTCTCACCACAGACCGTCTGATACGCGGCCATCCCTGTCCCACTACCAGCGCTGTCTCGGTACCACACCTCCACCGATACACCGTCCTGCCGCCCGCTCACTGTCTGAGCAGCGACCAGGGCCTCACGTTCGGTACAAGGCTTCTGCTGACGGTGAGAGGACGCGAGTCGCCACACTAGAATGAGAACCCTGGCCTTTCGCAGGGTGTACTCAGGGATTTACTCCACAATCGCGATTGTGAGACAGCGATAAATCTAAACACTAAAAACGCGGTCCGCACAGGGAAACGGTAACCTTCAGAAAGAGGCGCTATCACTGGGAAACCGTCATACAAACAAACATTTCGGGTGAACGACGGGTCAGAAAGCGCACCATGTCCGTATCGCACGTTAAACAGTCGAACCTTTCTCGGCGAGGTCACCACCTAAATCAGACACACTGAGGTGAGGCGTCACCCTGAGACAGAGTCCCAACTCCCAACACACCGGCCGGTCCGCTGCAGCGCACCGGCCGCCCTACAGGATCGGGGGCAGGAAGGTGCCGCCCTCCTCGCTCGTCGCCTCCGTCGAAGGCCGCGTCGGCGCCGCCGGCGGCTGCTCGCTGGCCCCTGTCGGCGCCGACGGCTCCTGGGCCGGGGTGCTGCCGACCGGCGGGGCGCTGGGGACCGAGGTCGACTCACTGCCGTCGCCCGGCTCCTGCGCCACGCCGCTCTCCTGACGACTGACGGCCGGGACCGGCGCGGGCGGGCCGGCCGCCACCTCCGCCACCGGCGCGGCGGCCACGTCTCGCACCGGCCGCCGGCCGCGGTAGATCTTGTAGATGCTGTAGGCGGGCTCCTCGGCGGCGGCAGGCGCGGGGACGGCCGGCGGCGGCGGCGGCAGGGAGCTGACCCGACCGCCCAGGAACGGGTGACGGGCCGCCTCCTCCGGGGTCAGCCGCTGGGACGGGTCCCACCTGCGTATGCGAGCGGGAAGACGTCAGAGCATGGGGAGTGGAGAGAGTGGTAGGTATATAAATATCAGTCTTATGTATGTTCGTGCACACAGCAGTTGGTCGAAACGGTAACTTGTGTGCACCGGACAAGGTTGGATGCTAGTAATTCAGCATAAAAAGAAACGGTAACGTCCACTACAGTATGACACACTGGGGTCACTGCCACTCACGTGAGACACTTTTCTATGAAGTCGACGAACATGGCGTCGCTGGTCTTGAGGGCGGAGGGCAGCGGGCGACTGCCGGGTCGCCGCCGTCGGCCCTTGGTGTTGGTGATTGTGCGCGGGTTGCCTCGCGAGTCTGCAGCAGACATTCAGGCGGTGGGCTAGTGGTTAGAAGGTACGCTCGGTGCAGAAGGAGCGATAGGATTATAGCACCGTCAAAAATAGCGAGAAAGAACGTCGCTGCTGAGCAATAATTACCGTCATTTTGTATAAAATAAAAAATACGGCATTGGAGTGAAATAAGTAACCATTATGTCTCGATTATGAAAAAGGCATCGGCATCATACGTAAAGGCCTTCAAACAATTTGATTCAGTTGGTGCTAAAAGTTCCAGGATTTCTTGGCCTCAAATGCTTTGCTACTAAAAGTAGCACAGATACATGTCAAACAAATGTTTATTTAGAACTATGTGACAGGCGGCTAATGTTATAAAACCTATAGAAACAGGGGCGCACTACACTTGATAATATGTTAGTAAAAAAAAAAAATGACAGGCAAGAGCAATAGGTATAACCTTTGGACTAAGTGAGAGTTCAATCATGGCGCTTAGAGACAATACATGGTTTCATTATTTATGCTTTCAGAACAGAAACACTTGAGCTCGTGATGAGCGATAGTTTCCCGGGACTTTCCCCGTAGTAATCATACCCCAGCCAATTCTAAGTTATGGAAATGGGCTTGAGCAAACGGCGTCGAAGCGGGTTCATCACGGGATAGCCGTACGTTACGGGAACAGAGGACCCACGTCTGCAGGAGGGCGGGGACTTACCAAAGAAGAGGCGCCGGCGCGTGGCGTGCACGATGAGGTCCTCGGGTGGCAGGTCGAGCACCTCCATGATGCAGGCCAGCTGCTCCACCTCGTTCTCACCGGGAAACAGCGGAAAGCCCGTGTGAAGCTCCGCCAGAATGCAGCCTGCGGAAAGAAAGACAGGCCGCGGTGAGCTAGAGCTTCATCATGCTGGTGGAGCCGACCTGCGAGAGCCCTGTTCAAATGCTGTAAGACACAAACGTTTCAAAGAACAAATAATACGATCAAGGTCGACGATAAAAGTTGCGATTAACAGAGCCACGGATAATTATTTTGTTGCGCGTGCATGAGTGATAAGTAGGAAGTTTTTTAGGCATTCTCACGAGTTTTAGCATTTTTGAGCGAGTTGACAAAATGGCATGTTTATAGCCTGATCCAACAAATTCATAACATCTACGGCGCATGGTAACATCCTAGCCGGCTTCTGACCACGTCCGTGCGGTCCGAGGCTCGGTCACATCAACGTCTCCGCAATCTATTCCACCGAGCCGGGGCATAATAGCT